GGTTACATTACCTTTGATCATTCCCTGCTCAGCCTCAGACACCCTCGTCACCACCGATTTGGATCCCTTGTTCCCTTGTCCCTGGGTTTGTTAACACCCCTTTCTTCCCCTCCCCTCCCCCCCCACCTTCCCCTCTCTCACGTCCCCCTGGAACTGTTGGTCCCTTTGTTTTCTCCTCCGGATAGTTCATCCAGCCTATCTTATTTAGACAGACCTGCAGAGATAACATGCACAAAAACAAGACAGAGCAAAGCCAAGCAATACAAGAACGAGCCAGTCAGGGTGCAGTGTAACAACAATGAAACATACAACTTTCCTCTAGTTCCTAAATGCTTCTCCTCCACCCCCCACTATTATGATCCCAATTCTACCTTACAAATCTGGCTAGACCAGAGGATGTGCACTGGTACAGATAGGAACTGGAAACACAGGGAATCCAGGACCGATGATCCCTTCAGGACCAGTGATGAGTGGTGATACCGGGAGGATAAATGAAGTGGAAAGGGGAAAACGATTACAGGGCTCTACATATAACCTCCTCCCTGGGGGACAGACAAAGTGGGTGAAGGAAGACATCAGGCAGTGTAAGATATGACAAAATAATAATTTATAAATTATCAAGGGTTCATGAGAGAAGTGGGAGCAGGTAGGGAGGGGGTAAAATGAGGAGCTGATGCCAGGGGCTTAAGTGGAGAGCATATGTTTTGAGAATGATGAGGGTAACAAAAATACAAATGTGCTTTATACAATTGATGTATGTATGGATTGTGATAAGAGTTGTATGAGCCACCAATAAAATGATTTTTTTAATGAGTTATACGAGCCCCCAATAAAATAATTTTTTTTAAAAAAGGCTTTCACGCTGAAAGAAACAAACATTCTTTGATGATCTCCTCAGGAGTAGAAGGGAGAGCTAGAGAGTGAACTAATGGCTAACGGGTACCCATGTGTTAACTTGGGTGAGTAATAATAAGAGGAGAGAGGAAAAAGGATCACAGTTTCCAATTTGTGATTTATACTTGTGAACTGATTAATGTCTCAGACCCACTGAAAATAACCAGTAAACAGTAGCAGTGAAGATAATACAAAATTATCTGATTGCTTTGTTTGGCCTTAAAGCTAAGCAATATCTTGATTTTAATTAATTATAGTTAAATGGCATTATGTGGTTATGACCTCACTTATATATAGATAATTAAAGCTGTTGTATAATATGACACTTGTACGAATAAAATGATGGTGCTATAAATTATCTACACTTCATAATCTTGATTTCTAGCAACATGTTATGATGTAAAGTCTTTATAATTACACTGTTTTATTAAATGCTATATTTATTTATGTGCAACAGATTTTATCAGCATTGAGCTCTGAAATCTTATGTATTCTGAAGTGTTAATAGAATTTTTATATTAATATTTACATATAAACATACATTAAATATCTTTAGTTCATAAATCTCAGAATACTGAGTAAATATTTATTAACCTTTTAAAGGGGTATTTTCATATCTTTTCTTAAAGAGAAATAAATAATATTTACTGTCAAAATGTTCAGTATTAAATTTTACATTTTGTTCAATGATGACAGCCAACAACTCTGCCTAGTTTTATTACTTTATTTCCTGTTATCCTGCTTGTTTTTTATTGTATTTTCTTATTTGTATTGAATAGAAATTCTTTACATCCTTTAACTTATAACAATATAAAGACTTTAATTACGATAAAATTCTGTTTATATCACATGTTAAATAAAACAACAGCAACCAGCCAATTCTGGTTCCTAGCAAAGCAATGTAAGGTTTCCAGGCGCGCTTCATCTTTCTCCCTCAGAGCCAGTAGCAGTCAGTCCAACTCCTACTCGACGGAGCCACCAGGACTCCTTATTTACACACCATAAATAAAAGAAAACCAGGAGGGGATTATGCTGAGGATGTCATCGTACACTTGCCGTGTAGGGTTCATATATAATGTGCTATTGTCAATGTCAGATGCATCGAAAAATGTTGTAGTCAGTGTCCTCATGGAAACTTTAGAAGATGGAATGAAATTGCTCTGGGTGCATTTCTCACTTTTAAATGCAGCTTGTTGTAGGAAACTGCCTTCATATTAAGACAGATTCCACTAAAGTGAAACTATTTCTGCTCTGAGACTATATCCTGTGTATTTATGGTTGAATATTTATGGATATAAAATTAAATGAGTCTGTGTAGACAGAAAAGGTAAATTATCAAAAAAAAAAAAAGAAAAGGTAAATTATCAAGTGTTGATAAATTTTTAAACGTAGAAAATAGATGCTATTCATGACTCAGATAAAATAGAAAAATAATTATTCAAAACAACTTTGTTTTCCTTCATGCATGTATTCATGTATTGATCAATAAATTGCTTAGTGCTTAATTCCTTTTCTGTACTTATCTGAGATCAGTTTTAGTTGTAATATGAGAAAATCTTATGGCTGATTATCCCATTTTGGTCACTTTGGTCCTTCTGCTGATGTGGTATCAGGCCTAGGATGGGAGGTCACACGTGGACACAGCTAACTCTAGGGAGCTGCGTCACCGACTAAAGGGTAAAATGAAGCTTCTGGAGAAACTTTTATTTCTCCATAGCCACCACCTGTGTCTGATGGCCTCCATAGAAAGGATATTACGTATAAGAGCATCTAATTAGGGTGGATTTTGTTTGTTTTGTATGACAAGCCTTCTCATTCTTAATTAAAAGTTAAAATTGTAATGAATTTTTAAAGAATAATCATGAAAATCATGAACCTCTTATTGAGCTCTTATGTTTTTGACCTTTTGAAATGTTTGTTTAAACCATATGGAACTGCTACTTATGTAAAAAATAGCAGTTATCAGCAATTTGAAATGGTTCATCCTAATACAACTTATTCAATACCTCACAACAACTCCGTGAAGTTAGTACTTTCATGATCTCCGTTTTACAGAGAAACTGAAGTAACTTGTTCCAGTAAGTGGCAGAGCTACAGCATAAATTTATATCTTCTAACTCCAGGCAATCAGTCAAAAGTCACTCAGGAGTCAAGAACCACCAGAAATTTGAACAGAGATGATACAAAAAAATTACTAATTGATAATAAGGATTAACTACTAAGAGGAGTAAAGAGAACTCTGAAGAATGTAGCAATAAATAGCACATGTAGAGAGGGTAGTCATTAACTCTAAGATTGAGTATTCAAGGAAGGAACAAGCTAGGAAAGTTCTCCTCCCTCCAAAGGCTCGCCACCTTTGTGCATAAGTTCACTGAGGTGCTGCAGAGCAGCAAACCACCTGCCGGAGTGCTGGCAAAGCTTGCTGGAAAGCCATCCACTGGAGTGCAGCAGCAGCAGGACTCTAGGATTTCTAGTGAGGCTAGCTGGAAAGCCATCTGCTGGGAGGCTGATGGGACTTGCTGGGAAACTGCCCATTGGCAGCCGTATCATGAAAGCATCAGAATCAGAAAGAAAAAGCCCCTTCCACCTGAAGTTTCCCTCAGGTACCCTCTGCCTCTAGAGTTACATTGGTGCCTGTTGGTGTTGCCAAAGAGGAATATTTGGAGAGTCCAGCTCTAGTATCACAAAAGGCCAGCAAAGATGCATGGATTTGAGAATCCAGCTCAGAGGCAGTACATGCATCAATTGGCCTACCATTCTTAACTCATGATAAATTGCTTGCATTCCACATTGTACATTCACAAGGAGTTCTAAAATCAGCTATACTTTTTTTATGTATGGCATTTCAGTTTCAGTTTTCAGCTCAATTAGGAGCCATGCAGCATCTGAAAGACCAATTGGAGCAGCGAACCCGGATGATAGAGGCAAACATTCACCGACAACAGGAAGAACTAAGGAAAATTCAAGAACAACTTCAGATGGTTCATGGTCAAGGGCTGCAGGTAAGTTATCCTCATTCATATTCGTGTACAACAAAGAATCACAGCCTTGCATCCACATTTTGGTTTCCTAGGAAATTTTACTTTAACAGTTCAATAACTATTCATTGGCTACTTATTCAATATGATTACATTTACAGTCTTTAGAGCTCATGAGGGTATTTCCATCAACTTCCTTATTTCTCCAGCTTACTGGAGTTATCTTTTAGCAATTTAGTTTTTAGTAAGCTTAAGTATAAAATATAAAAAATAGATTTTACATAAACCTCTAGTTTGATTTTAGATACCCAGCTTATAAATTGGTCATCAATAGTTTTAGTAAATGTCAGGACATACTTGGTCAACTCATAGGACCAGTGAAAAGTTACATCTTTATCGATTATATTTGAAGAGACTGGGACTTTGGTAAATGAAAAATACTTCTGTCTAATAACATAAATAGTAGGTATGACAGACCTTTGAGTAGCATGGAGCTTGAGTAATGCTATCTGATAGAAGAACCAATGTCTGAAATGTTAAATGCTCAAGAAAATAGAGATTTTGAAATCTATAAGCACTTACAATTTGAAATTACAACCAACTTAGGAATCACTAGAAAAATTTAACTTTCACATTTTATTCAGTATTAACCAACAAAATTCATTTTAATGTGATCTTTATTTTGAAAGATGTTTTTGCAACAGTCCACCCCTGGATTGAATTTTGGTTCTGTTCAACTTTCCTCCGGAAACTCATCTAACATCCAGCAACTCGCACCAATAAATATGCAAGGCCAGGTTGTTCCTCCCAGCCAGGTTCCAAGTGGGATGAACACTGGACATATTGGGACAGCCCCTCACATGATACAGCAGCAGACTTTACAAAGTGCATCCACTCAGGTAACAGTATTGAGTATAATTGGGCTGTGAAGAATTCAGTGAATGAAATATATGCCATGGCTGAAGTTAAAAATGAAGCCCTGTCTTGGAAAATACCATATTTAAAATTTTAATAGCAATCAGAAATTGCAATATTTTGAATGTTCATTAAAAGAATTTGTGAAAATTTTTGTGTAAAATTGCACATGCTTTTTAGTATTTTGACATATTTAAAATACTGCCATTTGTTTTAACAGGTCAAATCTAAATTATACCAGGTGCTTGAAACTTATAGTTTGCTTTTTATGTTAAAAAAGTTTGACTTGCAGAGAAACTAGCTAGAAAGCATGATATACCACATGTTCAGGTGGACTATTGAGGCACAGTGATGGTTTGATAATTCAGTATTCAACACCAGTATTCCTGAGTGTTCTGATAACTGGTGTACATCAGTGACTGTAAATCCCAAGACTTTATATGAAATATATAAAAATGTCTAATAATCAGTCACTCACTTTAATCTTTTAATAGAAAATTTTCATATGTTCAGTATCTTCAGGTCACTTGACGTTAGAAGAGTGAACAAGAGGAAAACTGTTTCTGGATAAATTGTTTTTGAAAATCTAGACCATCTTTTCTTGCAGAGTCCACAGAACGTGCTGAGTGGGCACAGCCAGCAGACCTCTCTCCCAAGCCAGACACCGGGCACCCTGACCGCCCCGCTGTACAACACTATGGTGATTTCCCAGGCGGCAGCAGGAAGCATGGTCCAGATCCCGTCCAGTGTGCCACAGAACAGTGCTCAGAGTGCTGCGATGACCACATTCACTCAGGACCGGCATATACGGTACCTGTCATTTCAAAGTCACAAGCTGATGGAGTAAAAACTAATAATATGGCTTTTTAAAACATAGTTTCAATTTGTTACTCCAGCCAGTGTTCTTAAATTGGAAATAAACACTTAAAATGTATCCATTATTTACAGATTTTATAATACCCTATCCAAAAATGTGCTGCCAGATATGGTCGAGCTAATTCATTCTTGAATTTTTTGATACACTGTTGCAGGAGATTTGTGTCACCTTTGACTTGTTATGAAACTTCATCTATTCAATACATATACTGGCAGTCTTTCAAGTAGAAACAATGACTAGGGTCTATTCAACCATAGAGAAAAACAAAATACAATGCTGTCAAGTCATTTCCAGCTCTCAGCAACCCTATGGAACCAAGTAAAACTGCCCCAGAGAGTTTCTAAGACTAAACTTTTATAGGAGCAGGCAGCCTCATTTTGCTCCTGTGGAGTTTGAACTGCCAACCTTGTGTTTAGCAGGCTGGTTCTTAGCCTACTGTGCCACCAGGGCTTCTATACTACCATACTTTGTATATATTACAGAATAAAAATAGCTTATCTTTATGGCATAAGCCCTAGTGGTGCAGTAACGGTTACAAGCTCTTGGTTGCTAACCAAAAGTTTGGCGATATGTACCCACCAGCTATTCTGCAATTTACTTGTATAAAGATTTTAGGGATTGTGATGATAATCTATACAACTTTTTTGTTTTAAGTGATTTAACTAGAGAAAAAAGATTTTAGGCTTGGAAACCCTGTGAGGCAGTGCCACTCTGTCCTGTATGTAGTTGTTAGGAGTTGGAATCGGTTTGACAGCAGGGGTTTTGAGTTAGTTACCTTTATTGAATTAAGTTTTAAACTGAGTGCTCAAAATATATTATTATATATACTTGAGTATTAGCCAACCTGAATATCTGCCGAGGCACCTAATTTTACCACAAAAACTACCTAAAAAATGTGCTGAAAAAAACTCGGCTTATACTCGATTATATACGGTATCTTGTTTAATTCTTATCCTCCAGTAAAATAAGGTGTGTTGGGTCTTCCTTTATTCTTCAGATAAGAAAAATCTGAGGCAGTATGGATTTATGGTCATCTGGTCAAGGACCTATAGCTAGCTCAAATAGTGGAGGAGGATCCCTGATCTCAAGCCTGTTCTCTGATTCCATACACTCTTATATACTCTTAACTACCCTGAGCTCTTGAGTTGGTTTAGAAACAGAGCCCCCCTCTGCCGGATTTTAATGGGAAGTTCAAAAGCTAACTCAGAAACAAGCTGAATGAAGAATGTGTGAAGAAATGGCATTCATTTACAGGGGAGCTGCTCGCCTTTAACAGGGGATCTTGATCATTTTAATACCCCTTCTTATGTACATATGTATTTATTATGCATTTTTTACTACAAGTAGGCTGCTGCTTTTATGGTACAATTGTTGCTGTTGTATTAGCATGTAAAAATTTTTAAATTAAAGCCCTATTAGTAACTTCCAAAGAGTAAAGAAGTTGCAAGGTCACAAAGACAGAGCAGGGAGACCTGCCCCCGTCCAGCCTCGAGCACTAACGTTCTGAAGGACATGCAAGTTACAGTGCCTGAGGGCAAGCCCTCTCTCCAGAATATTGATGGGCATTTTTGAGGGTCTGGCCTGGCAACTGTTTCTAAACCTGTGCTTTGAGAAGAAAACACATCCTTGCCTGCAAGAGAAAGACCAGAGTAGTAAAAGCAATAGAAAGGTAAACAAATATTGTTACAGGTGATAGATACTTAATGGGTGTTTAGAAGGAAGGACAGAGCAGTTTTCTGGGTTGATGTGAGCAGACTGAGAGAGCGTATGGTAAAAGAAAGCTTTGCATACTTGACTTTGGATGTGCACGTGGCAGGGAGTTGAAGGAGGAGAGTTTGCAGGCTGAGAGCAGGACTGTTGTACAATCAACCAATCCGCGGAACCTGGCAGCGTTTCACAGTGTGTGCAGTCACTGTGCATCAGAGGCCACCGCTATGGCACCTAACAACAGCTTTGGGTTTACTTTACCCAGAAAACGTCCGCTGTTTCTGAAGTATATAGAGTATTCCAAGATTTAGCATGGATTGAAAATAAATTCACTGTTGTAGTGATGTTGTGCTGCATATACATAGGGTGCTGTCTGTTTTCTCACTGTAATGGCCAATATTAGAAATTCAATTCAGAAAAAAAACAAGAAAAAGTACTCCTGTTCCCCAAAGAGGTATCATATTTTTTACTTCTTATATTAAAAAAAAGAAAGGACAGAGAGAGAGGGAGGGGAAGCATAATAACAATGGATACTATCCTGTATTGATAAATTTTAAAATTGAGAGTACTTTTATTCATTCTTAGAATGACAGTCGACTTTAAATTACGCTTATAAAATTTAATTTTCAGTTTCAATTTCTTCTATAAACAGAGTGCTTTACATTCCCCTATCATAAGATTTAAGTTTTGTGATTAGCAAATGAGCCATGTGTCACAAATATCTAACTCCCAATGAATAGTGATTTTATTTTAAAGGTTTGCATTTTGGTCGTGCTATTGTCTTAATTATGCTCTGTAGATTTTTTGTTTAACTGGTTCCCCCAAAAGAATTTGTTAATAACAAGGAGCAAAACAAAAACGTACCAATTTTTTAAAATAAAATTGTGGTGTGGTCCTGGGCATTGCCTCAGGCCTGCATTGATCTGCTCTCTCTGTGTGCGTCTGACTCCCTCTTCCTCTTTTCTCTCACAGATTTTCTCAAGGTCAGCAACTTGTGACCAAATTAGTGACTGCCCCTGTAGCTTGTGGGGCAGTCATGGTGCCCAGCACTATGCTCATGGGTCAGGTGGTGACTGCCTACCCCACCTTTGCCACGCAGCAGCAGCAGCAGCAGGCACAGACAGTGGCCATAGCGCAGCAGCAGCAGCAGCAGGGCTCCCAGGAACAGCCGCTCACTGCGGTTCAGCAACCATCTCAGGCTCAGCTGACCCAACCGCCACAGCAGTTTTTACAGGTAACCCCCAGCCAGGGAATGTCCGACCCATTCCTGTGCAGATAATGAGATCAGACACTGAGCTGAAACATCCATAAAAGCATACTGTGCAATCTCCGTCTCTGCATAGAGAGAAAGCTTGCCCCAGCTAGCTGCTCTTCCTTACTGTGGCCCATCTTTGGGCGACTTTCCACCCTGCCACAGACATACCCAGGCCTCAAAACTGCTGGGCAGAGGAGTGGCCGCATCAGGGTGCCGTCCGCTCAGCCTTCTCTCGTGATGGCTTGTCTCTAGGATTCATGTGAATGCACCTTTCTTTTTCCTGTTCCTTTCTAGCAGCCTGACAAACTCCACCCATTTTAGAGCAGGGATCTCAAGACAGGTACTTAAAAATGGTATATGTATTATCTATCACATTATTTCATTGTATCTATTTTACTTTAATTGTTTTATCATAAATTAACATCAGAAGAGCGATATGATGGAGACAGCATGTTTCTGTCATAGTTAAAGACTATCCCAAGGTGGAGTCACTGCTTTACCCATATTGCGTGACCTTGGCATGTTTGTTAAACTTGCTAAACTGCCGTTTCTCATCATAAAAACAGAGGGTGTGTGTGAGAGAGAGAGGGAGAGGAAGAGAGAAAGAATGGTTTATACTTCATGGGTAAAGATGTATATACACACACATATATGTAAAATATTAAACATAGTACAAAGCATATAGCTAGCTGGTCATATATGACCACTTTATTGACAGATGTCAGGGAGGCTCAGATCAACCAAAATATAGAGACAGACATCATGTGGTAAATCAAGTCGAGGCTCTAGTGTCTAAAGACCGTAGAAGAAAGACAAGGTACCCAGCAAAGAGACAAGCAGGACAGCCCTGTGGACCTCAGGAGCCTTGCAGAGGTTTGCACAGTGCAGCTTGTGGCAGGAGGAAATCTCACTGCTTCCTTTGGCCTCGCTAGAGCAGTGCTGCACGTAGGGGTAGCCTGGATCTGTGCTGCAGACCACCTTCTCTAGTCAAACACCAGCACCAATATTAAAATGACACACCAGACAGTAGGATTCGAGAATCCAGTATGATCTTGTATACCTGGGCAGAAACAGAGTCTTAAGTTACCATCCTCAGTATCCTCCTGATGCAAATACACTCTTTGGCTTGATGAAAAGGAGAACAGAAGTGGGTTGGCTAGAGCCTAAATAGCTTTGGAAGTCATTCTAAGTTTCTTAGACTTTATCCTGTACTATAGCCATTATTGACCAAGTTAGTTATTATTAGAAGAACAAGAATTTATAATAAGTTATAAACTGTTAGCTGGCAAAAATGTCTTCAGTGAGAATTAAACAAAAGCATAAAAAGAAGAGGAGATGTCTTAAGACCTCACCTTACTGCTAGCTCTGTGAGGGAACTCAAACCAGAAAGCACACAAACCAACCTGTTGCTGTTGAGTCAGTTTGGACTCATAGCAACCCTTGAAGGCAGGGCCTAGCTTTATGTTTCTAAGGCACCCCTGATGACACCATGCTTACAAGCAGGGCTGTATTCCTCAAGCTCAGCAGTTTGAAACCACCAACTACTCTGTGGGAGAAAGATGAGGCTTTCTACTCCCATAGAGGGAAGAGTCTCAGAAATTCACAGGGGCTGCCCTATAGGGGCGGTCTACCCTATCCTATAGGGTCACCATTAAGTTGAAATTGGTTCTATAACAGTGAGAGAGAATTTAGAGTTTCCAAGGCTGCATCTATTCACAAAAGCAGACTGCCACGTCTTTCTCCTTCGAAGCGACTGGTGGGTTTGGACCAATGCTGACCGTTTGGTTAGCAACGGAGCACTTAATGATCGTAGCACCTGAGCTACTATCAGGGAACAAAGACCCTTAAAATCATGAACACTACTTTCTCCTCCCCTAGCTTTCCCACAAAAGCAGCCTACATACATGGGGCCTGTGTTAGTCCAGGTAGACTAGAGAAACAAACCCATAGAAACATATACAGTATGTGTATAAGAAAGAGGCTTATATACACGGGCAGTTGAAATTGAGAAACATCCCAGCCCAGTCCAAATCAAGGCAATAAGTCCGATATTAGCCCATATATTGGATACCAATCTCTGAAGTCCTCTTCAGACTCGGGAAACACATGCAATGACGCCGAATGCAGGAAGATCACAGGCCAGTGGGTGGGAAGTCTTGTGAATCCAGTGGCATTGTAAACATCTCAATGCTGGCAGGGTTCTCCACGTGGCCTCTCCAGGTCCAGGGTTCTGGCTGCATCAGGGTAGGTCCATGTGGCTTCTCCTCAGGAATGTCTTACAGAGAGTCAGCCTTGTCAGGAGAGTCCCCAAGCAAGTGAGCAGAGAGCTCTTGCCTTCAAGGAGGAGAAACCAGATTTCCCAGAATTCTCAGGAGAAAGCCATGCCCACACCCACCTTGTTGGCTGTGATCCAATTGACAGACTAGACTCTACCCCTTCACTCTTAATCATCTCAAGTCCAAAATTGACACCAGATTATGTAACTACCAGAGGGCCCATATATAAGATAGGCAGAATAGAACTCTTCATAAAAACATTAATATGTAGGTGGGAAGTATAAATTTTGGTTTTGTTACTTATATATAACAGAAACCCTGGTGACATGGTGGTCATACATTAACAATCTACATGGTCAGTAGTTTGAAACTACCTGCCATTCCATGGGAGAAAGACGGAACTTTCTGCTCCTGTTAAAAGTTAGTCTTGGCATCCCTTACGGAAGGGTCGCAGGGAGGAGACAAGTCAGGGTGCAGTGTAGCAACAATGAAACATACAACTTTCCTCTAGTTCCTAAATGCTTCCTCCCCTCACCCCCTCCCACTATCATGATCCCAATTCTACCTTACAAATCCGGCTAGACCAGAGGATGTACACTGGTACAGATAGGAACTGGAAACACAGGGAATCCAGGGCAGATGATCCC